TCTGCTTCCTTTATAGATGGTTCAAAGAAAAACTCTGGCTTTACCATTTTGAACCATTTGGCCTGTAGGAGACAATCTTTCACCATTTGTTAGGCTGGAAACTTCCACAGGTTCCTCAAGTCCAGATGCAGGGTGTGAACACCTTTCCAGTGTCTGAAGCAATCACCTGGCATACCCTCAATTTAGCATTCAAAAGCAGTTTTAAGCACACCACTCCTGTGAGATGTATAATAGAATTAAGTATTGGTATTGTTTACTAACAATCTGATCTATCTGAAATTAATTATTCTCTTCAGTCTTAAAGAAGAGAATAATTGCCACCATGTGCCACCACGCCTGGAAATCTCAGTAAAAGGAACAGAAATATTTAATGAGTGTTGAGAATGTTCTTTTAGTCCTACCAATGATCCTTCACACCTCGGATCACCTCAGAGAGAGTCTGAATAGAAAAAGAAGGGAAACTTATACTTTAAGAGTTTTCTTTGATAAAGCAGAGGACTTAAAGAAACTATAGAACAACTTTTAAATTTACTACAAAATCAGAAAGGATAAAGGCTGTGCCCAAACCATGAGAGTGAATGATAAGTAGGAAGTTACTGAAATAATTATTTGATAATTGCCAAGCATCTGAAAGTAAGTGGTTTGATAATTTCATTTCAGTTCATAGGGGACAAATATAAAAAATAACCCACTATGGTCAAATTTTTCTTGATCTTACACACACAGCTACTGCTGCTGTGCTATAACCTGCAAGAGTTCTGTGCACAATCCCCTGTCTTATGTTTTTGGAGCCAAATTTGCACAAATCGGCAAATTATGGCCCCAGAAAGACTCCTGGACTTAGTCACCACCATGTTACTCGAGATTCATGACAGTATATCCCTGCTGATGTCAGGGCCATTCTAGTTGTGTGAAACCTGAAGGATATGGTGAGAAACCAACTCTCATAAGTGCCATAGTTTCCTAAAAGGTACACAATATGTTTAGGTCAGGCTTGTACATGCAAGGAAATGCAAACTCTTTAAAATGGTTTTAGGCTGTCTGATATTAGAAAATAATACAAATCTCTAGATGTAGTCTCTCTCTGTCCCAGCCCTTTCTAAATCAGAATTTCACTCTCCTACCTCCACACACTAGGAAGAGAAGCATGGATTGTCAGGAGCTACTGATAGTTTTTTGATAGCTTGGGCTGCCCCTGAGACTGAGCAAACACCGGCTGGAGAGGTAGTTCTCACTATCACCAATCTTACTGCCTTTATTATAGGGTCTGAAAGCAGCTTTCACTTTTCACTAACTTAGGGGGGCTTTTTTTGTTTGTTTTTTTTTGTTTGTTTGTTTTGTTTTGTTTTGGTTTGGTTTTTTTTGTTGTTGTTTGTTGTTTTGTTTTTTTTGTTTTGGGGTTTTTTTTGCTTGAGGTTTTTTTTTTTAATGTGTGTGTTTTGGTTTGGTTTGGTTTGGTTGGTTGGTTTTGGTTTGGGGTTTTTTTGTTTGTTTTTTTTTTTGCAGTGCAGCATCACATAGAAACCCAGGCAGGATTTGGGCCTCGTTATACCATGTCAAAAAACCCCACAAGTCAAATTCCCATGAATTGATTTAATTGTGTTAATTTTGTTATATCGGTGCAACCCAAAGAGATGCACCATGCTGGAATAACATGTGCTTGTTCTAGTGCAATTTTATACCTATGTAGTTTTCCTTTTCATGAATAAGAATTAAAAGGTGGCTTATCTACAATATAATGACAATCATTTTTATGGAGAATTTTTTGAGCTCAAGCAGTAGCAAAGTGATTACTTAATTGCTCAAGATGCTGATAATGCAGCAACTGGCTTAGGTTTGATGTGCACAACAATGGTTCAAGTATTGACTAAATGGCAAGTCTTCATAGGGATTTACACAGCAGCAGCCTATTCTTAAATAACCTTGTATGCGAATACCTTTTTTCAGGAACAACTGTGATTTTTCCCTGCAGCAAGAATTTTCACATAAAAAGATACTTAAAAAATGCTACCATCCCTTTTCACATCCTCTTTATTATGAATAAACTTTTAACTGAGAAGTCATGAATGCTGGAACATTTATACCATATATTGAAATATATTACTTCCACAAAGCTATCAGCATAATATCATCTTCAATATCATAATCATATTGTGAGCACTTCTCTTGTACAATGCTACAAAAAAAGTCAATTTTAAGATAATAAGAGACCAAACACTAGCTAGAGAGTGAATACCTGATGTACAAAGATACAATTATATTGCCCATCTCTTCTGTCTCAAAAATGTGTTTACATTAGCTCCACTGAACTAAAACAGGGTTCAAATAACTATTCTGGAACAACTGTACTTCTAGATGAAATTAAACCTAGAACTAGGGGAATTTAAAATGATGGTTCATTCATTCTTACTCTTTCTTTCCCTTAAACACTTTTTAAAAGACTGCTAATACTGATGCCATTAAAATGTTGTCATTCAAAGTTTCTAGGTCATGTGCCATACAGTGAGAGTCTAAGTCATGTGCCATAGCAAAGAGAGATGAGTTTTCTGAGTTCACATGGGTACCACTGGATGACAAAATATCTGGCTATGGAATACTCAACTTTGTCAGTTTGTATCAAAGTCTTCCCAAATCTCTTCAGCATCTGACTAATGCACACACCTCTTCCATGTGCTTTCCTGCATTGCCATTAAATAATGCCTTCTATCACATTTCATTTGCAAAGATGACATGGGATGGCTTGATGGTTTCAGTGGTGTTCTCTTGTGCTCCTATTTGAGTACAGAATAAGGTGCGAAGAAAATATCCTTTCTTTCCTCTTTGGTGTTATTCAAGAATGAGACCCACCCTTGCACAAACCTGTGGGCCCTGGGAGTAACACCATGACCCATCCACCTGAACTTTTGAATGCACCCTCTGAATCACATTTCAGCTCCCAAAATAAGGATGTGTTGGGAGCTTGGTGGGAAACAGGTCCAATGCTGCTGGGAAAACATGTTGATTTTTGAGCACTGTGGTTTGGTGACAGCCTTGAAGCAGGAGATCTGGAACACAACAACCAGAAAGATTACTTGTCTGCTAGGGATAACATTTGTGGCGGGCAGTTGCGATTCCTCTGACTGATTAGAAATGGTTCTCTCCAAGAATGGTTCCTGAGGGATTACAACATATCCCAGCCTTTGAAATCATTACTGGAAGTTCTGTTTCTCACAATTCGTATGGAAAAAGTAGGCTGCGACAGAGGAAAGGTTAAGAGAAAACAGTTGTTTCAAAATAATTGCTTTCCAAAAGTGAGGAAATAATATGTTTATTTATACATTAGAAAGAGTGCAATGTGGAAAAGGGCACAAGGAGACAGGTTTCTCCACTGTTTCCTGTTAAGAGATTTCTATGTAGTGTGAGGTTCAAGCCCAGGTGAGACACCTCATATAGTACTGTAATTTTAAAGGGTAGATGTCCAGTTCTGGACTACTTGTGCAAAGTGCTCTTTATAGTCAAAGGAAATAAATGATCCCCGTAAAATTATGGAGAAAATTGTAGGTGCCTGTCTTAGCATCAGATCAATCACTTTCAGCATGAGCTTATTTCTCCCCGCTGGGGGCTGGTCTGGGCACCTAGTTCACATAGATGTCTAACTAAATGCAAACAAACCCAGGCCAGCTATCTGTGTGTGGCATGGTCCACCCTTAGATGTGTGATGCATACATTTTATTCATAATTTACAGAAGACTCTATGAGAAGCATAAAGAGAGAAGAAAGAAGGAAATCGCAATAGAGGAAGAAAGGAAAAGCTAAGGCAAATACAGAAAAAAACCCATAAGGTGAGGAAGATTACAATGCTGGAAGCTGGATGCGAATGCAGAAGGAAATTAGGATGACTTTCCAACCACAAGTAGGAAATCCTACACAGTTTTCCACTTGCTGATGCACAGAGTTGCTAGAGAGACACAGAAACTATGAATCTTGTAGAAGTGTTAGTGCTTATACATAAATGTAATGTCCCAATGAATGGGTGTTTAATTGCTTTCCTGAGATGTCAAGCACTTTATCTATGTTTTTCCTCTCTCCATCATATCTCAGTATTTCTAGCTGAAACTTGTTTTGACAACTTTGCCTTCAGAATCAGTTTCTCCATTTTCCACTTGCTTAATTTACAAAAACATCTGTCTTCACACACTTGGGTAAAGCTATCCTTGGGCATATTTTGTTCTTGAAATCCTATCATTTCCTGACAAAGACAATGCAGCAACAATAGCTTTGGCCACTGACATGCTGACCAGTATCATCTCGTTGTCTGCTTGCACTCTGCTGTCTACCTGTGTCTAATGCTGTCTTTGTTACGTACTTAGGACATATGCTCTTTGTTCAGTTTGCACAGCATCCTGCAAAATGGCATCCTAGTCTGCGACTGGGCTCCGGTGCTCTAAGATAACAGAGGTGATAAACCCCCGTATCCTGCCTGATGTTGCTATGATGCCTGTGAACCACGTTGTACTTGCAAGTTTTCAAGTGCAAAAGCACCGCGCTGCACACGGGTGCCAGGTAACATCGCTGTCTCCTGGTCCTGTATTGGTACCCACGGTGTTCTCCACTGGCCTCAGGCCAACGGGATGCTTCAAGACCAAGACTGCTAAGCAGAACTTCGTGTTCAGTTTATTCCCGTTTCTTTCTTACTGTAAAGCACGGCCTGGAGCAATTTCTGTGGGAAGGAGCACAAGGTACTAGTGCGATCAACCTTGCGCATCAACACACCAGCGGCTTCCAGGGCAGAGCCGCGCAGGCCGGCTGCAGTCCCTCACACTCCCGCTCTGCCCGTTCAGCCCAGCACCGCCTCCCGTACCCCGTCGGGGCCGCCCCCCGGCGCCGGCACCGCCCCCGCTCCGCCCGTCGCCCCCAGCAGCCCCCGCGTTGCCCGGGCCCCGCCGCCGCCGCTCGCAGCGCCCGAGCCGCCGGCGGAGCGAAGCTGCCGCCGAGCGCGGCCCGCGGGGCGCCGCGGCCTGCGGGCGCCGCTGGTTGGCGGCGGGCGGACACGTGAGCGGGGAGGCGGCGGCGGCAGCGGGAGTTTCCCCGACAGCTGGAGGTTGCGGCGGCGGCTCCTCCTCCCCGGGTCCCCGCTAGAGCCCGGAGACCCCCCGCGCTCCTTCTTATTGACAAGCGCACAAAGGGCCGCGCCGGGGCCGGGTCGGGAACGCGTCTGGAGCCGGCATGGGAGACAAGAAGAGCCCGACCAGGTAGGGGCAGCGGCGGCGCCTTCTGGTTCCCCCGGGCCCTCCGGGAGCGCGGGGCCGGCGGCGATGGCGGCGGGGTTGCCCCGGGGGCGGCGGGGGCGGCGCGGCCGGCGTTGCCCCTGGCGCGCGTGTGTCTCCGCAGGCCGAAGCGGCAGCCGAAACCCTCCTCGGACGAGGGGTATTGGGACTGCAGCGTCTGCACCTTCCGCAACAGCGCCGAGGCCTTCAAGTGCTTGATGTGCGACGTGAGGAAAGGCACCTCCACACGGTGGGTCGCCGGCGGAGGGGGGAGCGAGGGCGGCGGGGGAGCGGCTGTGCGGCCGTGACAGGAATGGGGGCCGGGGAAGCCGCGGAACATCCCCGGGGTGCGAGGGAGGGCGGCCGTAATAGGAATCAGGTCACGTTTACCGGGGGGTGTGCGGGGGGGCGGAGGGGGAGCACCCAGCCCCCCGGGGCTCCTCGGTAAACCTGACCCAGCGGTGTGCCGGCGTGTGTGGAAACAGAAATTATAAATACCAGGAAGGGCATAACTGCCTGCGTACCCTAACCCTGGAGAGGCTGTGCCCCTTGCATGAAGAAGAACCATCACCTGGGGTGTGCCTGCTAAGACACCCTTTAATATTTTTTTTCTTTTAAATTCATATTTTCTGTGAGTTTAACTTTGCCACATACATAACCCCTTTGTATAATTATTATTATTAGTAGTAGTATTAATTTTAATTCACTTTTCATCACAGAGTATCACCGTCCAGGTTTCCGGGGGCTATAGGGGGTGGATTATAACCCTTCAGTGTTTAGAAAGGAATTGTTAGTTGAATTGTGCCATATGGAATTGCATCCTCATGAAACCGTGACTTCCCAGGAGGACCTTTTCTCTGTACACCAGTCGGAAAGCTTGCAGTGGATTACCTTGCAGTGGTTCCTGTGCCTGCCGGTGTTTTTCAGTATTGTGGCTAAGCGTGTGTGTTTGGGGAATGGAGGCTTTTTATAAATGAACAGGAGTGCACTTGTAGCCATGCAGGCTAACAGAAGAGAGTGTTGCTCAAGAATCCTTTCTTACAGTTATCATACCTAGAGGTTAATCCTGTCGGCAGGAGAAGTTTAAATGGCAATCAAAGTTGCAATTCTATCAAAAGCCACAATTACATTGTAGATATTGGTTAAAGCAGTGATGAATATGACTTGCAACAAATGTTACATTTGAAATTGTGGCTGCAAGGTTGGATCCAATTACATGAGAAAAAAATTACTCCTTTTCTGGAGTTGGTTTCTTAGACTTTTGAAAACCAGAATGAGTGTTGAAAGGACTTCTTATAACTTGAGATTTCAATACTGGTTGATTTTTTTTTTTTTTTAAACAAAGGAAATCAGTGAGGTAAATGCACTGAGGGGGAATTGCATCTGTCACAAATAGTGTAGTTTGCAGTTATAACAATGGCATTGTGTTTATATCACAGAGAAATGTGTACAGATTGTAATTTTCAGCAAAATAAGACTACTGAATTAATGCAAAGCCTTTAAAAAAGCTCTTTAACATCCAGTCAATTTGATAGGCAAAGTCAGTGTAAAATTATGTTTTGTTGCATTGGAAACTCAACTGGATAAAAGCAGTGAAACTTAAAAACCAACAAAACAAAAAAACCCCATGCCAAATCAAAGAGTGTGGAGCTCCCGAGAAACAAATATTTTCATTGCATTCTTGTTTCCACCTTTGAATATTTCATGTTTTATATAATTTAACAAGAAAACATTTGTTTTGTTTTGTTTTGTTTTTTTTTTAAATTTCCAATTTCTCCTTGACAGTGACCTGCTACGGAAGAACTGTAGTTGATAGGTAGATTTTTGTTTCTCTACTTAAACAGTGTAACAAAGTGTACCTGAGTAGGTTTATGGATTTCTTTTTCCCATAAGGTTTAAATGAATTGCATTTTCATGTGTTTTCAAAGTCCAGGTTTTACACATGGCATGAGATAAATACAGGTTGAGGTTTTAGGCCAAGCAGTTTTTGTCTCCAATTCTGATATTTGATTTGAGCTAGTAACTAGACCCTTGTGTCCATGGAGAGGATCATTAGGGTGCCAAAGAGACACAAAAGGCCATTTGGGTGGTTTTATTATTTGGTTTTTTTTAAGCATCTCTAATCCAAGTGACAAAATTAGTGCCTTGTTAAAGTATTTGTTGGTATTGCCTGTAGGACAAAATGGTTTTCATCAGCATTGGACAGAATGACAATACTACCATGTTTTGATGACAGTGAGAATGCATTATTTATTTATTTCAGTCTTCCATTTTGAAGCTTGATGTTAGATTAAATTGATGCCTCAGCATGGTTCTTTGTGTGCAGTGTTCTTACTTAAAATTTTTGACTTTTTTTTTAGTGAGGAGAGCTTTGTCTAGAAAGCAATGTAAAACACTGCTTTTTTTTTTTTAATTCAGAGAAATGTCTTCTTTGTGGTGGAATGTTTTAATATCTGCTTCTGCATGTTAAAATTCACTAAAGATGACCAGATTTTCAGGTGGAAAAACAGGCAATTATATTCAAGTTTAGTGGGTTTGAAGGCCACTGGAAATCAGGTGCAAAGTTCATTAAAACTTTTTTTTTTAATACTGATTATGTACATTTAACTTTACAGAAATATTCTCAGGTGGGGGTAGGGTTTATGGATGTTTTCATTGTTGAATAATTTCTTCTTTCCAAAAGAGTTATCTTTTGTGCCAGGGGCTAGACATGGATTATGTTCTTTAACAACTGGTGGAATTGTTAAGATTAGTGCAAATAATTCTTATGACTTCTTGATTATATCTTATTTCTAGACTGAATTTGGAAAGCAGATTAGATCATGGAGTTCAATTAACTTTGTGTATGGCAGTATTACTTTGACTGATTAAGCTGGGCTGTGCTTGGAGGGGGGGTGTCCAAGAGAAATCCTGGATGCTGCAGAAAGTGGTGTAACTGATTCCCAAGGTGGCACTCTTTTCCTTGGGTTAGTACTAAAGGAGTGCCCCAACATGGTGCCAGTTAGATATGTCATGAGTCAGATATAGAACTAAGCTCCATCTGCCAGATGAAAACCCCTGTACCTTTTACTCTAGAACCACTGCCAGATGTTAATTTGGTAATGTCACTGAGGATCTAAACTCCCCCTGTAGGCATGGCTTTCGTATTTACTTTCTAACCTAAATTGTTCTGTTTTGTTGCTTGGGTACTGAAATTGCTATGTTCCTCTTGATAGGAGGCTGCACTGAATATAGTAATTTTCTACGTGTGACCTTTAAAACATTTTGAAATCATCTGGATGAAAGACATTATATAAACATAAGGAACATAGGACTGTAATAATCATTTCTTACTTGGATAAATCTCCTGCTGAAGTTCAATAGAACTTCCACTATGTTATAGAGGGAACTGGTAGCAAACTCTATATTTAGGTTGCCTAATAGTTTCCATAACAAAGAAATTGTATGACCTCTTTGAGAAGTTTTATTGTTTGCAGAAACCATCGAAGTTTGGCAAGAGGCAAAGTCCTTAGGCTAAATAAGTGGTTTGATTTCCTTGCCCCATGAAATTGTTTGAGTTTTACTGAGACTAAATCACTTGAAAAATCATCATTCCCCATCTGTCACCCATGTTGTACAGAGAACTCATTGGTAGAACACTGAAAAAGCCCAGACTGGAATCATGTACAAGCAACAGTGGCAATGATGCTGTGCTGAAAACACATAAGGGAGTTATTTTGTTCCTGGGGAGGTTGTAATGGGGTTGCTGAATTTGGTCTGACTCTCACAATTACCGCTTTGTCAAAAGAAAGTTGCCTCTATTAGCAAGCTACCATTTCTTTTCTTTCTTTCCTTCTGCTCTTCATGGCACTGTCTGAATCAGGAGTATATTAATACTGATTGACCTTCAAGAATTGGGCTGGATCCTTGGACAGACCTTATTGCAGCAACTATTTGCCCCTGGTTTGTCTGTCCTTCAATAGATGTTTGGATTTTGCTATTCTTGCCAGCTAACACCATTAGTCACTGTAATTTAGATGTGTTGTAAAGCTGAAGATTAAGAGTTTCAGTGTTGCTGGGAAGAAGTACACAAGAGGACTGGCATTCCCTCTACAGGAATGTTCGCTTCCTAGTCTCCTCTGCCTTCTGAGAGACTGCATTACTGCCCCGTTGTCACCTCTCTGCTCAAACTTCCTTAGAAGCATTATTAACACTCTTGTTATTCAGTCAGCTATAGCACTGAGATTTAAAATTACCTGTCACTTTGTTTTCCTTCATGTGGTTTTTATGTATGTGGTCTGATCTCTAGTTGCAGGACCCTCTTCTTTTTTCAGTGCTATGATAAACCACTTCTCCTTTCAAAGTGAATGATGAGCATCCAGGGAAGTGTAGTGAGAACTGCAGGAGGAACTGCAAACACTGGCTTTTTAAAATTTGAAATGCTTGGAATGATACTCTGCTATGTAAATAAAGGAAAAAAGAGGGGTAGGGACACATGATCAATTTCCCTTTTTCAGAGTTGATATCATTCTGTGATTTTTAAATTAGCTAAAAAGGATATTTTCACTAAAAGTATTGTCTTAGCTGGTTAACAGGGGAAGATTTGTTGTACAAAGTGTATTTTATGCTTGTTATGGTTTTATTTTTTAGAGCCTCTTTCATTACTTTCTCTGAATTCAGTAAAAACTTAATCTTGCCTATAAATTTGGGTCTTAGTGCACACTATTCAAATCCATAATAATTTTCTTTTGGTGGGGGAAAGGAGGCAGAATAAAGAAATGAGACGGGTACAAGTGACTTCTGTGAAATTTTGTGGGGTTTTTTTGGTTTGGTTGCATGTAGTGTGGTTTTGGTTTTTTTTTAGGGATTCCTATTTGATACACATGTTGAGTGAGCTGCTATATGCAATATCATTTATAAAATAGCCCCTGAAATTTGTAACCAGAATGAGAAAGTTATCTTAAGTCAGGATGAGTTTTTGTGGATTTGGGATCTGTGCCTCTTAACATCCTGTACTGCCAAAGTAGAGACATGTATAACTAGCTGAATGGGGGCATGGCTTCCTTGTCCTGTGATCTATTGATCTTCATTACTGAATTGCTCCTTTTCTCCCAGCTGAAGAAAGCCAAATTTAAATCATACCAGTCTGAGGTATAAGGAACTGGGATGCAGTCTTTGTATGTTTCCTTGGTATTTGGTCTGTGCTCCTTGATTGTGCCTGAGAGGCTGGCGAGCTAATATGTCCATAATTTTATAAGCATGTCTGATAAT